TTTTAAAAAAAAGGAGGACCTACTGAGCACAGCAGGTCCCTGCTAGTGCCTATCACTGGCCCGGGTCTGCAAGATGGTCGTGGGTGGGCTTCTCTGAAATCCTGCCACACAGAGTCATAGCACTGTAATGTTGAGGGCAGTGGGAATGGCACCAGTTGTTAGACCAGGGGGGTCAGACCTAGACCTGGGTTCAGCAACCTCCGTGCCTTGAGTCTAGCTAGGAAAGAATTCAGAGCCAAGACTTAAACTATGAGAACATTTATTTAGAAAATCACAGAGGTAGAAGTAGTAATTCATAGAAGAAGTGGGCTGAGGAAACAAGTTATAGAGGCAAAGGAAGGGCCCTTTTTGGAGCTTAGAAGTGAGGAAGGTAAAGGTGACTAGCCTAGAGGGAAGGAGAAGGAGAGGGGGAGGGGAAGGCCAAGGAGTGCTTCTGGGAGGGAGAATGAGCTGGGTCCTCTGTCCTAAGGGTTTTAAGGGTGGAGATTTTAGGGGAGGTCCCAGGGGAAGATCTCTAGAGAATATTCAGCAGCTTTCCTGGTGTGTCCTTTCAGGGTCTAGGTCTCCACCCATTGATTGGCCTGCCCAGGGCAGGGGGTCATTATTCAGTGCAGCTGGTCTTGAGGTCAGCCTTGCTGTTGCTGGTCTGGTTTTGCTGCATTTCTAGGCCTGGAGCTGAAATACAACTGAGGCCTAGGTGTTATCTCTAGGGAGGAAAGGTCAGGGGGTCCAAACCGCAGGACCAGCTATATACTAGGGGAGGAAAGGTCACCCTCCAATTGTCCTCAATTTTTCTTTGCTAGACACCCAGGGCTTTCCCGCCCAAGTGACCTTCTGTCCTGGCTCATTGTCCTTCCTCTGCCCTTGTCTAACTGCCTACCACAAATTGACCTTCAAGAGTTCTCTTATAACTCAGGTACCTTTGGTGGTCTGTAGGACTGGTTTCCCGTCCAGGCAGGTTAAAACCAGGAATTAGAAGCCAAGGTTTCTAGTGCATCAAGAAAGGAAGACACCACCCAATGACAGCAAGACTTAGCAGCCTTTCTCCGTTAGAACTGAGAAACCATTGGAGACATAATAAAAAGTCAGTTGTTTTTGCAAAGAAGAGGTTGAGATGGAAAGTTGGCTTGCAAATCAGTCTGAATATTGTTTGTTAAATCGGGAGTTAAGGTTGAAAATTATCTCTGTATCCTTCCTCTAACCTTGCAAACATCTTGAGGTGTAACCTTGACAGCAAGAGAGGCTAGTGTTTGTTTTTATTAAAGGTCTTTCCTGTTCTGTGTGTGAAGCCATTCTCTTGATCACAGCAGGGGCTGGATGAGGGGAGATCAAAACAGCTAGGCCACCTGGATCCAGGGCATCCAGGGCGCAGGCAGCAGCCCTCCCTCTGGACCATGACGCTTTCACTGCCTGGATGGTTAGGGGGTTCTCCCCTGCTGTTCTTTTTAAGGCAGGGGTTTGGGGGTTTGTTTGTTTTGTTGTTGTTTTGTTGGTTATTGAGGAATTATTTTCTGTTTCTTAATGATTCAAACTTGAACATGTGCCAGTTGTTGGCGGGATTTTGAGA